TTACTCTTTTAGTAGAAACGAAGATCTCCATTCTTTAACATTTAAAATGTTTAAAATACCTATAAGGTATATTCTATCCCTATTGATCCTCGTGAAAATTTGCCAAAATACTTTTCCCAATAATCGGTTTTACATACACCTCCTTCTACGGTTATCGAGCAACAGCCTGAACGACTTGCTTGGAATAATAATGAGTAGAAATATTGATTTGAATTATCGTCACAACATCGAATTCCAAGAACATATCTAGGATCATATAGCACTCAACAGGGATGTCTCGCTTCTCAGATGTTATTCTTTCGCATGGCTATTTGAATAATATATGGGTTTGTAGATTGATCGAACCACAGTCGAATGTTTTTGATTCGATGTTTTTTGTGTTTGGACTCCTTTTAACCTTTGTCTGTGGGAGCCGGGTATGGGAGGCCCCCTTTATGGGAATGATAGAACTCAGTTGTCAGTGGCTTAACGATGTGACATTGGGACTCGTTTCATAGGGGGTAGAGCAAGGGTCAAATATAGCTGCTTCCTTTCTTTTTAAAAATTCTCCATCTCCGTTTTCTATCATCAAGTATTAATAGTACTTTAGCGTAATATGTGAGCTATCAAGGGAATCACGTCATCATCACGTATTGCCTTTCCCATTTCGTTACGAATGCCCATCTTTTATAGTTGCATGTTCAAGTAACGCATCCTGGGGTGCTCCGTGTTGGAGAAAAACACAGTGGACGAATTATCTCATCCTCGTCGTCTTCCTCCCCTTTCTACCTATTGTTCTCCTCCTTTTCATTATTATTTGTATTTCATAATTTCCACATTCCCCTTTTTCTCCGTTTTCCATAGTGTTAGGGTTTAGAATAGGGGGGGTGGGTCCGAGTGTGGGGTATTATTTATTCTTCCTCCCGTCTCTGAATTGATATTTCTTGTGGTTATATAATCATTCCTTTCTACTATTATCATTTCCCATTGCAGCTCTCCAACCCAATGGGTCATCAATACCTCTCACATGGTATCATATCCCCGTCTTACCTGGAGAGGACAGCGAGCTCTCTCGTCGTCAACCGCTGCTCAGGTCTGGAGACGAGCTGGATAGAACCATCCATAGAGGGCGCTTCAATACAGAAGAGAGGAGCCATTCGAAACGGTCCGGGAGATATTATGATCAAAACCTCAGATGGCACTGTTATTATCATCAAAAGATAGAATTGAAATCTTCACGTCGAAAATGTGCAGATACGACATTGAGATACGAGTAACAAGTTCGCATTGCAGGCAGATGTAGGATACTTGTTGCAGGAAAACAGAATCCAGAAACGGTCTGGAAGATAGCCGAAAGGAACAAAAACATGAATGGAAATGGATTTTTGGAGAAGTTGGCTCAAAGTAAATCAGTTTATTTTGCAGAAGATGAGGCGAACGGGACCAGAAAATTAAAAAAAATAAAACAATTAAATGAATATCGTTGGAATACATTTTGCTGTATTACAGATAAGTCATGAGTTGTATGCACATAAATAGACCCGACAACGAGCGGTCGTGCCGACTATGGTTAAACTTCCTTTGTACCCCTTTTCAATAATTGATGTTGATTTATTTACACAAACAGTTTTACCGAATGCGTTTCGCATGTATCATTTATTGTTTTGTCGAAATGATACAAATGAGAGAAATCGACATTTCCTATGAATGTGTGTTTATGGTTTCGCAAAAATATTTATTTTCGTAAACTTTGAGCTGAAATAAAAGTGTACATGTGTGCAGTAATTGTTACCAAATTTCCTCGCAAACTCACTTTAACTTGTTATCTTGTAAGATTTAGAAACAAGTTTGGAAGCAGATGTGTGTGAGAGGAAGAGAGAGAGAGAATGAGAGAAAAGGAGAAAGAGAGGGGAGCCGGGAGGTAGGAAAGAGAAAGAGAAAGAGAAAGAGAGAGCTAGAGAGAGAGAGAGGGGGGGGGGGCGGGATGGAGGGAGAAGCCCGGTCCCCCACTCAGTGTTATTTAGGGTACGCATATGCTCGTTCCCTCTTTTTGAAAGCACCCCCTATCTGAGGACTGCCAACATTTCCGAACCCCCCTTTCGCGGGCTTTTCGCGGGCTTTTCCTGCCTTGGAGACCCCCCTAAATCAGGATAAATGCTCAATGTACCCCCCTAAATTCGGAATAATTTCTCAGGAGTCCAAAGAGATGAGAGAAAAAAAGAAAAAACACCCCCTTTTTTAAAGAAATCTCCGGGTGAAAAGTCAAATACACCCCTTTTTTTTTTTTACAATTCTCGGGCCGGACTTTGTCGCACGAAAAGTACCCCTTTACCGGACATTTTGGCGACACGCATGCGGTCATTTCGAAACCTGAATGGGGGGGGGGGGCCGGGGGGAGAAGGAGGAGGAGGAGGAGGAGGAGGAGAGAGAGAGAGAGAGAGAGAGAGCATACCCTCGTAGTCATATTGTAAGGATAATGTTTGGGGGAGGGGTAGAGTGATGTATTCTGTTTGAGAAAAGTGAGCTAACTCGGAAGCTATACATGACCTGCATGAACACACCCGAGTACGTCCAGTTCAGTCTGAAGACAAGTCTAATGTTTTATCCCTCCCTAGCTGATGAGGGTAGCTACAGCGTGAGGTCATACCGACACACGTGTCCGTGGATAGGTGGTACGTCTCGGGGACCTAACCCTACAAGAGACATTGCACCGCAGGGGTATGCGGCTGACCCCTACTTCACATGAAACCACATCGAGCTCGGAATGCTAACAAGCGTGCTGGTTATCGTCGGAAAATAGATAAAAATCAAACTTGTGACGTGGCTCTGAACATTTTTTGTAAGGTTTCCAGCACAAAGCAGACATTTTTGATAATAAAGAGGAGATCATAATTACAGAGGACCGTATACATGGGCATCTCAGATTCATTATTTGACCGGTCTCGTGTTGCATAGTGTGGTTTTGTTGCGATCAACTCATCAGGGCTGGCGCGTCGTACGAACTCGTGTATGACGGTGATGACGGTAGACTGGGTTGTCTGTACTTTGCATTCTTAGCCACCACCTGTTATATTGATCCATTCCATTAGATGAACCAGGGATTGTATGGCATGTCTCCGGATGAACAGATTGGAGAGTGAATTTTGAAGGCTGAAAGGCAGAAAAAGGTATCGTATAGAGGTATATTCGCTCAATATCATGAATATAGAATTGAACGAGATAATCTGACGGTTATTTACAATATAATATACCTTACACTCATGATATTGCATCAAATTGTTCATGTCAAAGGATAATGATATGGCTTTAAAGTAAATGTTTCTTGACTTCAGCAGTAAATGTGTTATAAAATGTGGTTACATTTAACAAGCACAATTCACCATGCATAGGCATGGTCATGACCAATCAGTGTTTCTCAAGAAAAAATCTTCGTCTAACGGCGGATCCGGAATCGCAACAGGAAGAGAAAAAAAAATATCGTTCATGAATTATAAAAGTCAACATCCCTTTTCAAGCTTTACCTTCTACATTTTCGATCGCAAATGGAAGGGGAAGATTTTCCGTCACATGGATCTACCTGATGTGCTCTTGTTTTCCCTCACATAGAAAGGAGGACATGTTTTCCTGCTTGGGGGACTGTTCCTGCCTATAGATATCTCCAGCCCATAATGACTAGTGGGTGATTTTATAACGTGTATTGTTAAAAATATGTCCCATTTGCAGCCCCCCGCTCCCCCCCCCAATGCAAAGGTTAAATTCCAACGGCATTTGAAAGATAACACTAATTTAGAACTTCCCTTTGTTTGAAAAATAAAAGTTTTAAAAAGATAATTTTTTTATAGAAATTCCCTCAAATGTCTTTTAGTGGGAAAATAACGAGCATTAATTGTGAAATCGACTTTAGTGATTGCTATCATTTTTAGTAATAGTCTGATTTTTAGTCCCTTGTAACGAATGGTGTTGTAACATACTAACATGGTTGCTACTGTTAGATGTGTATGTGAGATAACTCGAATAAGACAAGCAGATGAATCAAGTTTGAACTCAACATGGTACTTTATTCAGCTTCCATTATTCACCTGTATTCTTATGCTGCTGAATCTAGCAGCTCATTTCTGATTCCGCATTCTATGGTATCTTAGAATACTACATCCCTCCCCATGTTATTTGAAAACATGCATTACAATGAGAAAGCATATTGTGACATAAAACTGAAATTAAATCTTCTTTAAATTTAACCAGAACAATGTTTTCACTTGCTGTGTGAACTGTTTTCTTTCCTATGTAACATTTGTATGTGTGGCAACGACTATCAGGCGTATTTCTCATGATCGCCCTAATTGAATGTGTGAAACTATGTACACTTATATACACTAAGGATCGAACACTTTGGAGACTTACTTTTAGAGTAAGTTTCTTCAAATACAAAGTTTTCCTTATCAACCCTGAACGACTTTGAATGGTATAACTTTAAAACTTTACAACAGCATGCAGCCCTGAAAACAAACATGGATTGTGTTTGAAAACACGAGTCAAAAGTTAAACATTTTGAATAACTAAACACTAAAATGGCTAAACTATTGAATACAATGTAAACAGCCTATTATTATAAAATGGCTAATCAATTGAATACAATGTAAACAGCTTATTATTATAAGATCACTTACACATACTGTTGTAGTTTGTCAGTACGCCCAAAAGGCATGCAATGATTTGTCAAAACTAAAAACTAAAACAGCAAAGACTAGGACTGTGACAATAGCTGACTTGCTATTATATGCTTTAAAACGAAAACGTTTCCTTTAGTTTGTATAGTGTGTAAGTACCGTACAGGCTTTCGTGCTGCAAAGTAGTAAAACATCAAGAGTACATATTTATAACTTAAAACTATTGAATATCTCTGTTTTATTACAGACTGTTGTTGCATACACATTACACATAAATGATTAACAAAATAAGATGAATGATGTCGTATCATTACTTAACACTTTTGATGAATGTTAGTCTTAACATGTATCACGCTACTTCTTGACCTTAACTTTGGTTACGTAGTCTTTCAAGTAAGCTGGAGGGTTTCGAGTACGGCTCGAATACCTCTCAACGTTAGGGGTAGTCGGATTGGTTTGTTCATTGTCATCTGACAAGTCATCAGGAGCACTGAATTGTTCTATTTGCTCTTGTTCAGTTTCTACAAAAACTGGTTCAGCTGGGAGGTATTCCTTCAAGGCTTTGAAGAAAGACGTGTTGCGTGTTATCTTTTGTGATCCACGACTTGCTGTGACCATCGAGCCTTTGACATCGGTGACTACCAATGGCTCTAGCTCATAGGGTGTCATTGTTTTAGTAACATACCCTTCACGCTTCACTAGAACCGTGTCTCCTATACAGAGGGGAACACGTCTGAACGACATGTGGCGTTCAGCATCAGCTTTCATGGTGTTTTTCTTTGCTTTGTCGCGTTCGCGTAGCTCTGAGTCACTTCCTTCACGTGATATCTCTGGCAGGCGTGTGCGCATAGGTCTCGAGAACATTATTGTTGCCGGAGGTTGTGCTGTGGTTGTGTGTGGTGTTGCGCGATAGTTGCGAAGAAATCGATGTAGCTCTTGCCTCCACGATTTGGATTCGGCATGTGCAGTGCGGAGGACTTTCTTCAACGTGCGCATAAACCGCTCTACCTCACCATTTGCACGTGGCCATCGCGGCGTTATCTTGCGATGGGTGAAGCCTAGGTATTCTGCGAACTGCTTAAACTCATCGCCGTTGAATGGCGGACCATTATCGGATTTTACAATCTGCGGGACTCCAAACAATGAGAAAACTTTATCGAGCTTTGGAATTGTAGCTTTCCCTGACGTCGACGATACGACTTCTACAACTGGGTATCGACTATAATCATCAATAATCACTAAAAGATGATCTCCAGAGGGCAAATCAGCGAAATCTACACTTACTTCTTCCCAAGGACCATTCGGCAGGTCAGACATTTGAAGTGGTGCACGAGGACTTGGCCCTACTGTCGTGGCCTGGCATGGTAAACACTGACTTATTTTACGCTCAACTATGCGATCAATTCCAGGAAACCACACTTTTTCTCTCAGAAGTTGCTTGGTTTTCACGACGCCTTGATGGCCTTCATGTGCAATCTCAATTACGCGATCACATAGGGATTGTGGGATGACAATGCAATTTCCGCGTAACACAAAATCATCACTGGGTGCGATTGACAACTGGTCGCGAACATTGTAGAAGCTCTGAAGGCATCTCGCTACATCTGAAGATGAAGTGGTTTCTATCACTTCTTTCCAATTTCGCGATCTGAGAGCTTGCATACAAAGACTCAACGCGACGTCTTGTTTAGTCGCGTCTTGGATTTCGCTTAGCTTCATTGACTTTGGTACTGCATTCACGCTCACGAAGTTGATATGTTGCTCTGCCGCCTTCTCTTCGCGGCTTGTGCGCTCAGTAGTCGGCAGCGGATGGCGGGACAGGTAGTCTGCTGGGTTAGACTTTCCAGGCTCATACACGACAGTGAAGTCGTATTCTTGAATTTTGAGGATCCATCTCTCAATTCGCGTCGGAGGCTTGCTATGAGCGTTGTTAAATATAGTCACCAGAGGCTTGTGGTCGGTGACAGCTTCGAATGTGTTTCCGTAAAGATAGAGATGGAAGTGCTGAATGCCCCAGGTTATCGCCAGGGCCTCCCTCTCTATCTGTGAATACCGCTGTTCTACTGGCGTAAGAGATCTGCTGGCTAATGCGACTACGGAGGGCTCTCCATCTCTGCTTTTCTGTGCCAGCACAGCACCGATGCCAACTGGGCTGGCATCCACGAGTAGTTGAGTATTTTTGTCTGGGTCGTAGAACGCATTCGTGCATCCTGCTGCAAGGCACTGTTTCACGTTAGTCATGGCTTTCTGGTGATCTCCTGTCCACTGCCACTCTACCTCCTCTCTCGTAAGATTGCGTAGAGGAGCAGACAGCGTCGCAAGATCGGGGATGAATCGTCCGCAGTAGTTAATTAGTCCCAGAAGACTGCGCACCTCCTGAACGTTTGATGGATTCGACGCATTGATGATGGCCTGTACTTTCTTGGGGTCAGGTGATACTCCTTCAGCGCTCAGAACATGGCCGAAAAATTCCATCCTTTCCTTGCGGAATTCGCATTTGTTCTTGTTGAGAGTGAGGTGATGGTCTTGCAGTCGCTTCAGGCATTGTTCAAGCCTGTCGTTGAGTTCCTCTGGTGTACGGCCATACACTAGAATATCGTCGCTGATATTCAGAACTCCATCAAGACCACTGAGGGTGGTTTGTATCATCTGCTGAAACACCTCTGCTGCGGAATTGACTCCGAAGTTGAGTCGCTTATATCTGAACAGGCCAACATGAGTAGAAAAGACAGTTACATAACGCGACTCCTCAGCGAGCTCTATCTGGTGGTAACCAGCGTTGAGATCCAACTTCGCGAAGTGTCGAGCTCCATTTACTTTCGCGATGATCTCGTCGATAGTGGGGGTCAAATGGCGTTCTCTCTGAATAGCTTTGTTAGGAGCACGCATATCCACGCAGATGCGGATCTGATTTGGACTCTTGGGTTTTTTGACAATTAGAATCGGCGAAACCCAAGGTGTTGGCTCACCACCAACCCGTTCAATGATATCCAAATCAAGGAGACGCTGCAGTTCCTTTTCTGTCTGTTTGCGAACGTGGAATGGAATCCTGCGATGGGGCTGGACTACTGGCTTTACAGTTTCGTCAATGTGAAGTTTACACTTCACGTCCTTGAGTTTTCCTAGCCCGTTGAAGAGGTCGGCATAGCTTGATGACATGTCGTCAGCTGTTACGGCATATGTGAGCTTGACGATGCCTAGCGATTCTGAAGTGTCACAACTCAACAGATTATCAGAATCTCCGTAGACCACGTAGAAGGTTGTTTGAGCGGTGTTGTCTCTGAAGGTCAATTCGGTTTCGAAAGTTCCACGAACCTTGAGAGGAGTCTTGCTGCCGTACGCATAAACACGTACTTTATTACTCTGGTCTAGTGTTGGGTGCTTTGTCAGCCGCTGATAACAGGTGTCCGTTATTACATTGACGGTTGACCCTGTGTCGACGAGCATACTAATGTCGGTGTCTTCAAGTGTCATGGAGACACGGGGTCGTTTTCCTTTCACTTGCTTGATGCCAAAAGTATATTCGCAGTCTCTCCCATATTCCTCTGTATCGCCTGCAGCATTACTCGTGGTCAATTCGCTAACTTGACCTCTGACAGACTTGGAGTGATGGGCTTGCTTCCGTGACTTACAAACTTTTGCAAAGTGATCAAGTATCCCGCAATTACGACATTTCTGTCCTCTAGCTGGGCATTCATTCTGATGGGGATACTCGCCTCCACAGTAGAAACACTGCTTTGCATTATTAGACAGATGCCTGGACTGAGAAGTCTTGAAAGTTTGTCTGCGATTTGGTGTGCGCTCATGGCGTGTGAAGACTTTGTTGACACTAGCACTACCAGATCTTTCACGCCCGACTTCTGCAGCTCTGGAAGCAGATAGCGATAATGATCTAGCAAGTTCAAGGAGATCGGTCAAGGACATATCCCTCTCCAGGGCTTTGCGTCTTAGCTGGTCAGAATTACAGCCTTCGATGATCTGAGTTTTGAGCTCTCTGTCAAGGTTACCAAATTCACATTTGGTTGCTATCTGCCTAAGGCATGTGCAATACTGATCGACTGACTCATCGGCTTGCTGGGTTGTACGCCTAAATACAATGCTTTCATATAGAATGTTCTTCTTCGGAGTGAAATAGTTTGTGAGGGCACATTTAGCTGCTGTGTACTCACGTTCATCTAATTGAGACTGACTTGGCGGATCTGTTTGCTGAGAATCCACCGTTCGCTGCTGCTGGTTATCAGTGTCGAGAGTCTCAAATATATCTTGGAGTGCTTCTCCTCCAAAATGAAGTAAAAGAGCTTTCTGGCGCTTGAAATCAGTTATGCCAAACCCGACCATAGCTCCCTCGAATCTGCGTAGCCAACGTTCCCACCGCACGAGAAGAGACGTGGGATCCGACGTTGGGTCGAAACACGGTAAGCTCGGCATGCCTTGCGATGCCATGGCGAAAAGTTAGCAGTCAGCTAGTAAAAATCAAACTAGAGCATTTCACAATCCGTTTTGTCCACAAGCATCCTCGTCGCCAGTGTAACATACTAACATGGTTGCTACTGTTAGATGTGTATGTGAGATAACTCGAATAAGACAAGCAGATGAATCAAGTTTGAACTCAACATGGTACTTTATTCAGCTTCCATTATTCACCTGTATTCTTATGCTGCTGAATCTAGCAGCTCATTTCTGATTCCGCATTCTATGGTATCTTAGAATACTACAGGTGTTACGTTCTGTGCTGCGAGAAGATTCAATCAGTTTAATTTGGGCCATTATTAGAAGTGGGTTATTGATGTAGACAAACTCTCATCTACCTTTAAAACTCATTTTAAGGAAGCCTATGTTAAAGGGATAGTTGAGTTCTGTTTTCAGACCGCAAATGCCTTCAAAGTGTATGGTTATTGCTCTTATTCTTATCTATGATATTTCTAGTGCCCTTATAGAACCTTAAATTGCTATGAAGGTAATTTTAGACCCCAAAATGTGTGAAATTGAGCCAATACGATCATATCAATTCAGCTCCAGTTTAAAAAAAAACACGGTGACCGTTAATTAATTATTTAATTAAGAATAACAATACATGAGCCGGCTAATTGTGGGTAATAAAAACAACACGGAAATGCCAACAAAAAGCCAACATCGGCATTGGCTGAAATACGACGTAAAAGGCGTTATTTTGTTTTTTTCAATGTTTTTTTTCAGATTTTTCAAAATATCTAATATTTGTGGTGGTACACAAGTATTAGAAATCGTTATATTTCAGCCGCCCCGCCGCTCGCTGACTTTTTTCCTTCGAGTCTTGCACAACTTTTAATTTTTTTTTGTTGAAAATTGGACCTACGATTACAAAGTCACGTGAACTTTTGTCTTTGCATGTCAGCTCGAAAATTGCTCATTTTCGTGATTTGTGTACAAAACATATGGACATTTTTTCCTAGAAATAGATCAAACATGAGTTTTGGGTCTTGTTAAAAGTTTAGGTGGTTGTTTTGGGGGTCAAAATAGTTGAATTGTAATTAGAAATGAAATAAAACAACAAAAACAATAAAATACATAAGTTAAAAAACAATGAAATACATAAGAAATTATAAAAACAAGTGAAAAAGAATGCTTAAATATGAATAATATATGATTTATGAGTAAAAATGTGATTTTTATGACCTTAATTGCATAAATTACCATAAATATGCAAATGAGTAATTTTTTCAAAAAATTGAAATTATCGTAGTATTCTATACACTTCACTTGACATGCGTGCAATTTTTCGCGGAGATCGGCCGATTGACGACCGACATCTTATGGGGGGCCATAATGCCCCCCCCCCCCCGGCCGTACTAAGACCCGGCCATTTTAGGGTTAAACAGATGTGTTTTTAGCATTGGTTTAAATGTATTTAAAGAACTATCATTGCGAACTAGAAGGAGGAGATTGTTCCAAAAAAATGCACCATACGTGACATATTCATAATTCCTGCAAAGTTCTACAGCCGGAATTTGATGTCGGCTGCAAATGAGACATAGCACCTAGTGACATTTATTCCCAAGTGATTTCGAATGAAATTTAACCTATTCTCCTGAGCTCTATTACTACTATAGGGCTTCACGGATTTAGCCGTATAGATCTGCCTAAAGTCGAATATGGTACAAATGACTTCAAATTCAAATATCCACCGATACTTTTACAATGTAAACGTGGAGATTGCCACTTCGCGCATCTAAAAACGAGATGAAAATGCTTTATATTCAATAAAATTTGTTTGCCCTTTTGGGATTTAAAAAAAAATACCTACGCCTGTGTAGCAGTGCACAGTTGGTCAGGTGTCGGAGCATAAATTCATTACAATACATTACTTTCATGAGCATCCATGATGATCTATCCAGTATTCATTTCTGTGGTATTCAGGGGCGGATCTAGCTGGCGGTGAGGGTGGGGGCCCAATTTGTGAGAAAATAGTTAGCGGCGAATAAGCGGGGGGGGGGGGGGAGGGGTAATGAGCCCTTTTCTTTCTTTTTTCGTAAGAAATATTTAGCGGCGAATAAACGGGGGGGGGGGGTGTTATGGAGCACTATTTGTTTGTACTCAACACCTACGGCCAATAGCGGTTATAGGACCGCCGCAGCATTCCTACGGTCACAAACTGTAGCGGTCACATTCGGGGAAACCGCACTGCATAATTTAAATTTGTGGAGACAGAAAATCTGCGGCTGCCGTACGGCCTTTGAAGTGATGACGCACGGTCGCCTTAGGGCGTCCCCGCGGCGGCCGTAGCTTTTTGACAAATACAATGAGGCCGAAGGGGTCGAAACGTCGACCGTGCGGCCATACTGATGCTACCGCTTCACCCATGGAGTGTATAAATCGCAAGGTGACCGTAAGGCTGACGTACGGTCTCCGTGGAACCGCTCTACGGCATGACTACCGCGTGTCTAATCGCTACGGCGATCCTAGAAATGAAAACAGTTATAACTCCGCGTTATAATCCCACGGTGACCCGTACGGACTGTAAAGATAGGGATACGCCCTATGGTGACCCTGAGGCCACCGCAGATTATCTGCGGCTGCCGAAAGTTATTGATGAAGACAAATGCTCATGTATTCTTTACAGCTCATTTTTTGGATGTTATTACCAAAGAAGAAAAAAGCCAGTCGGTCACTCAATAGTGTATGACAGTGAAGTCTAGCAAGTAAACAAGTTTCCTTGCATAATTTGAAAACAAAGAAACTGGTAACGTTTAAATTTCACAAATAGGACATACATGACATATTCATAATTCTTGCAAAGTTCTACATAATCTGATGTTGGCTGCAAAAGGGACATGGTATCTTTAATATGATCATTCGAAAACAAAAATCAATGATTAACCAAGAAGTTACTAGTAACTTCTTGGATTAATCTTTGTCATTTTAACCATGTGGTTTTCGTAGAGTAAAGGAACTGGAAGCATACCCGCAGCTTTGTATCACTCTAATGAAACTAGTGCTGAAAGACATGTCAAATTCGTAGTATGAATTTTCTGAACCTCAACATGTTTCTATGTCAGTAGAATCCCATTATTGCAATGCTCATGAACACGATGTTTAAAGAGAAAGTTGAGTTCTGGGAAGAGGTGAAAAATAATTTGTGAACTTTATCATTCTTATTATGCAAGTGTGGAAGAACATCAGGTAAGACATTTTCCCTGAAAAGCATGGCTCTTCAAATGCCTAATTCTTATTCTAAATATGTCATGTTCGTAAAACTCGGGGGGGGGGGGGGCCGGTTTTTTACGCCAAGTGTTCATGTAGTCCCATATACATCTTTCTGTGTACAGTGTTTGTAACTTTACCAAGACTTGGCCAAATTTCTTATCATTTTGATGATTCCAGAACCTTGCAATACACACAAATTCTTATATGCTAGATGATCAACCTTTTCTGGTCGATTCCACACCGTTTCTTTTACAATGCAATCGCATGACCAGAACTCAACTTCATCTTTAACCCATATTATCGAGGTCAATCAGAGAGGGGAAGAGAGAGAGAGAGAGAGAGAGAGAGAGAGAGAGAGAGAGAGAGAGAGGGAGAGAGAGAGAGAGAGAGAGAGAGAGGACATATACATAAAAGTGATAAATAAATAATGTTTTGGATAAGATAAAGTAAAAGGAGGGAGACAAGGGTAAAAAACGAGAGGGGGCTGAGCAAGTGACAGAGAGAGAGAGAGAGAGAGAGAGAGAGACAGACAGACAGAGAGAGAGAGGAGAGGGAGAGAAAGAGAGAGAGAGAGGGGGTGGGGAGAGGCAGAAAGAGAGACAACGACAATGATTTTTTTAATTTATTTAACGGCCCATTCTGGGGCATGGGAGAAATACAGTTGAATAGTACATGTATAATGTTCAACAATGATTCATATAGTTTTTGTTTTTTTTTAAACACACACAGGAAATCTTTAAAAACAAAAAATTGCGTGGTAGCGAACAACAAACAAATGAAGACAAGCTTTAGGATATAGGTCTACTTAAAAAAAAAAAAAAAAAAATACATGATACCCTACATCTCAACTGGCAGTACTAACACTACTTTATACATGTATGTACACTATGCTACTAAAAACGGCAACAACCAATTAAAACATATAACTCTAACGTATTCAAAAGGACAAACAAAATTATCCAAAATTAGACATAATGATCTTACAAAATTTGGAAAGGTTCTTTAACTTCTTTAGCAGAATTTGCATTGAAAAACTGATGAAATTTGATAACGTTTGATCTACTGTAATAATATTCTTTAACATACTGCTTACGAAAGTCATTTAAAGCTGGGCACACCAGAACATAATGAAATTCATCACCCTGTACCTTAATATTAGATAGGGAACATAACTCAAGATGTTGATCAGATGAATAACGACATTTGGTAACTGGCAGCTTATTATTAACACAACGAAACTTACAAAGAGGTATCCTGTCACCTACGTCCAATTTCAACAAATAGCTCTCCAGACCACCTTCCTGTTTAAAAAGCCTATAATTTAAACGATTTCTATAAACTTCATTATTCCAATTTTGCAAATCAATATCGTTTAATCTAAGGTCCAAAGCTGAGAAAAAGTAGAGAGAGAGACAGAGAGAAAGATAGAGATGGGTGTGGTGGGCAGAGTCGTAGAGAGAGAGAGAGAGAGAGAGAAGGGGGGGGGGTGATGGGAGTAAGAGCATGGGCATAAAAATTGAATCAAAGACGGCTGTTGCATATGAAGCAGTTGGAACTTTCGCACCTGTGAATAACAGATGGAAATATCGCTTGGGCGTAGATTTAAGATACCTTTTCAATAAAAAAAAAAAAATGTGTTTACGCCTAAATCCTAACTGCATACATTTTCTTTTAATTCTTGAATGCACTATGTATATCTATGAATGTATCAACATTTGAATTGAATTTATTTCTGATTTTCTGATATGTTTTCTGAGTAG